TCTCTCTCTCTCTCTCTCTCTCTCTCTCTCTCTCTCTCTCTCTCTCTCTCTCTCTCTCTCTCTCTCTCACACACACACACACACACACACACAGTGGCTTACCAAGGCGGAAATGCATAGAGGTACTGGCACCAATTGGCAGGGAAGCAAGGAAAAATGATCAAATGCACAATAGTTTTGAATCAAAGCTACATACAGCTCAACAGACTACAATGCCTGAGATGGAGTTTGCCACTCAGTAGGAACGTGGGGGTTGCAGACCCCTTCGTTGCCTGACTGGAAAATCTGTGTTCTCCTAACTGTGTGGTGCTGTGGAGCTCCACCATACTCCGGAGTAGTATTGAACTGTGGAGGAGGAGGTGGTGGGGCTGGTTGATGGTGATGGTGTGCGGGAGGAGGAGGGGGATGAGGAAGAGGGTGATAATTTGCCTGTCGACTAGCAGCAAGTGAAGCCGCAAGTCCTGCCAAGGATGCTGCCAGCTCCCTACCGGAATCCCTGATTGCCGCCGCCACTTCCCTTGCTGAATCCCTCATTGCCACCGTCTGCAAGTCCATTGAATTACCCATAGTTACGGACCCATCCCTCATCGCTGCGATGAATTGTTCGCTGCCATGCACATACGCATGCGTCAGCCCTTCGACCGATGCTGCCATGCTCTGAGTCCTACTCTTCTTCCCACTGTTGACAGCCCCATCTGTGTCATTACCCGGCGCTCCGCGTGAGGGCGTGCCGGGCACATTTCCATGTGAAACACCACCTCCCTCCCCCTCCCCTTCTCCATCTTCACCCCCATCCTCCTCTACATCATGCATCACTCCTCCTCCGGCGCCGTTCGATCTGGTCGAAGGTACACACGCCAAGTCCCGAATAGGATTGCTGTTCGCAGCCATTCCTCCATTGTTGTTGGCATGCAAGTTCATTGCATCCCGCTCAGCCATAAATTCTGCCATAGCCATGAATGTGGGTTGGTTGATGTAAACCTCGATCCCTTTCTCCTTCTTCTCTGCAGGTGTGAGATCCCAGTAGGACTTAACTCCAGGGAGCTTCTCATACTCCTTCACCTTCCGATAAGTCTGCACAAGGTTATTCCACTTCTTGCGAAGTTTTTCTGAATCCATGCCAGGATGACCGGCCGCTGCCATAACATCGACTATGGCGGCCCATCTAGCAGACCCAGAGAGCATGCGCGTTGTCGAGCCTTGCGGCGAGCTTAGCTCCGCTCGCTTGGCTCGAATAAGAGCAAGCACAACTTCGTGGGCGAGAGCGGGAGCTCGCCTCGAGGGCCCTCCTGGGCTGGCAAGGCCCCGCTTCCTCGATGTGGTAGTCGTCGTGCCGGTAGTTGCAGTCGTCGCAGTCGCCATTGCCGCGAGATTCAACGCGTCCGTCCCGGCTTGCACCGCAAGCCGCCCATCTTCTTCACTTTCTCCTGATGAGCTCGACATGGTGCCCGAGCCTCTCCGGAATTTCACTGACGACGTTAACGCAATCAGCTGTGGAGAAGCCTGAGCCTCGTCGGAAATTTTCCCCTGGTGCTTCCAAATTAGGGTTGGCAAGCAGCAGCTACCAGCGGGCCTAGCTCCGTTGGCACACCCCTCAGCTGTTGAAGCACAGACCCAAGTTCAAATCCAAATTATGAACAGAATGAAATAATTCTGTATACCTGGGGGCAGTCGGTTCGGAAAAAGAAAAAAAAAACACAGGTGTCGCAAGCAGCGGCAGAAAACCCCGAGACTCTCCGAACGTGCGCGGAAGATTCCAACTTGGCTTTGGCAATTGTTGGGTCCAAATATCAGTTCAGAAGTCAGCTGTGGAGAAGCCCAAGCCTCTCCAGAAATTCCCTTGTCAATCCAGAATAGATCCGGCAAGCAGCTTCGGAGAAGCCCAAGCCTGTCTGGACATTTCACTGCTCACTCCAATTTACGTTCCGCAATCAGCTGCAGAGAAGCCCGAGCCTCTCTGGGCCCAAATTGGGCCCAGCCATCAGCTGCAGAGAAAACAGTAGGTACTAAGTTCCCACTGTTAAGAGAATTCCCACTAAGATGACGTATCCAAAGGTGGGTGTTTCTACACGAGTTTCAGGTACCCAAATATATGAACTGGTACCATAGGTACCTTCACTGGAAAAAAGTGCAAAATAAAACAATCCATGGAAATGTTTGCCGTCGTTTCGCACGCTCTCTTCTCTTCTCTCCTCTTCTCCACTCTCCTGTACACTTTTTCCTCTACGTTGCTTTCACTCGTCTTTCCCCCCCCCCTCCTACTCTCGCTCTCTCCTGTCCTTCACTCTTCTCTCCTCTCCTGTTTCTCTCTCTATCCCTCTCTTCCATTCACCTTGTTTCATCTTCCCTCCTTCAGGGGCATACTCACACTAGGACTTTTTGCACTTCTTATGTGGACGTAATTGCGGTCAGGTGCATCCAGGCAGGGGCATAACTCACACTAGGACATTTTGCACTTCTTCTGTGGACGTAATTGCGGTCAGGTGCATCCAGGCAGGGTCAGAAAAGTGGCCATATACAGCCGGGAAAGTCCTAGTGCGAGTATGCCCTCAACATGCTTCAAACAGCAGATTACGACCAGAGCTTATCTTCTGCCTTTGATGTGCTGTCACGTTCGTCGTCCGTCCACCTTATTATTTTGCGTCACATCCGTCGTCCGTCACCCACGCAGCATGCAATGCCCCCTACTTTCTTCTCATTGCGTGTCCAACCTCTCTCCCTCCTAATTCTCTCATTAGTTCATCTCAGTTTGCTCCTGTTCTCTCGTTTCTAATCCATTTTTCCTCCTCTCCTCCCATTTCCTAGTCTATTCTACTCTTTTCTGCTCTTCAATCCTTCACCACCTACAGTCCTGGATTTTCCTCTTCCCTTTCTAGTCTACTTTCACCTCATCTCACATCTGTTCTTGCCCCTCAGAGACGATAATTCTTTGCATACATGCCCCTCTGCTCTTTCCCCTGAAAGAGGACACTTCTTTGCAAACATGCCCCTCATCTCAGGGGCATTTCTTTGCAAACACCCTCTTCTGCTCATGCCCCTGAGAGAGAACAATTCTTTGGAGATATGCCCCTAGTACACTCTTGCCCCTGAGAGAGGACACAATTCTTCGCATACATCCCCTCCGTCCTCGCTCTTGAGAGAGGACATAATTCTTTGCATACATGCCCCTCCGTCCTCGCCACTCCTGGACAATCCTTTGCATACATACCCCTCCCTCCGCTTTTCTGTCCAAAGTTCTCCAAACCTAAAGGGCACTCGGAAGATTGCCAGTATAACACGAAGCCGCTTTTTTTTTTACCTGTAGCTGCATGTCCTGCACAAACACGCACGTCATGCACACACGTGGAGGCAAGATGGACCAGCCACCATTGGCCAACATTCAATTTTGTATACCGCTGGACAAAACAAAAAAAAAAAAAAAAAAAGACATTATCACACAGCGCATGCACACAGAGCTTGATTGCATCTGGATTCGAACTTGGGTCTGTATTCAACAGTTCATGGGTGTACCAACTGAGCTAGGCTCGTTGGTTATGCACACAACTTCGCTTCACAGATCAAACAGTTTGGCCGACCATATTTATTCCATAACCTCGCCCCCCAAAAGAAAACCCTAGCCCCCTCATGAACCCTCTAATGAATGTGTTCCTAGTCTAGCTTTTCCTCTCTCTCTCTCTCTCTCTCTCTCTCTCTCTCTCTCTCTCTCTCTCTCTCTCTCTCT